CAACCCCCACCCCGGGCCTTCACACTATTGCCTGTGTCCATGGGTTATGCATGTATGCGTATAAGTTCTTTGGTTAATCTCTTCCCACCCACCCCCGCCTTCCCTCTGAGATTAGTGGATACACATGGTATATTAGTACTTTGTACATCTCATGAATGTACTAATTGTGTTATCGTATGTTTTGAAGTTATATTAATGGTGCAAAGTAGATGTGTGTTTTCCATGTGTAAGTGGTGATTGTAGAGTGCACATTTAGAGCTCATTTCTCAAAGAAAAAACAATAGCACTATCCTTTTTTCACAGTTTAGTTGCCTGAGATTATAGCTTTCAAATGGTTAGCTTACTTTATTACTATCAATAATTATTTCCATAATCATTGCGGTTTTGCCAACACATTACAAAACCACAATAATCATGGAAATTGTAATGCTGATACTGTAATGGAACTTTTTCATTATGTAGGTTAAAAATAAAACTTGGATCATTTTAAGATCTTTGTTTTCATTTTTTTAAATTCTGTAGGAGAACTTTTCTTAGGAAAAACTAGGTATGTGGAAATGTTCTACTGGAATTGCTTCACATTATCCACACTGATAAAAAAACACAAAAAAGAAATGGATTTTTATTTCTCACCCATTAAATCAGTAATGCTTTATTTTAAGCAAAACCCCCATGTTTTTGGAGAAACTAAATGTGGAAAGTTTCAGCATCAATAAATGTTTGGAAACAGATGTTTATTATGAAAACCCTTGTTCCTAGTGTTTCATTCTCTTTTCAGAATGTGCTATTAGAAGTTGCCCACAAGGGGGAGGAGGGGCGAGGACACCGCAATGGGCCTGGAGTTCCCTTCCCTGGAAGCAGGATTAGGGGTAGGGTGTTTAGTAGGTAATCCTGGCAGCTCTGTGGAAAGAAAAGAGGGCTCCAGATGCGGGAATGTTAGCCCTGGAAAGGGGACTTTGTGAGCATCCTGTCCAGTCTGTAGCTCTAGGAGACACCAAGGATGTAAGCATAGCACTGCCCTCTGATACAAAAGCTATTAATCCTAAAAATTTACAGATTTCCAGTTTTTGTTAAATTCATACCCAGGGGAAAAAAAAACACTATTTTTACCTCTGCCTTTATAAAATGTGCTCCAGATCAGAGACTCAATTACAGACAGTGAAGAAGGATTTTTACCTTTTCAAAACCCATGAGGAGCCAGGATCTAGACATCTTCAAGATTTTCCATAATTTCATCCTAGTCTAGTCATGGAGCATTTTCCTACAAGATTTAACTTAATTTGCTGCTCTTCAGAGTCAGAAGCTATTAGCTGGACCTGGGGAGCAAGGTTATATTCCAACTTTCCCTTTCATTCTAACCAGCTCAGCGCTGGCTCAAGCCATACACCTCAGTATTTCCAGTGCTGAATTTTGTTCCAATTAAGCATTCTAAATTGTCCTAAACTGTTCTTTTGGATATGAACAGATTAGAACTATTTGTTAAAATAAAAAGCAATCTCTCTTTAAATGACCAAAACCAAATAATTTATAGTCTTAGCCAACAGAATTTAGGACTTTAACGCAATAATTGAATGTAACAATTCCCGTTAGTTTTAATTGAAGAAACAATAATATGATTTAAACAAATTTAATAGTCTTATGAGTTTAGTGTATTTTTTTTAAGCACTGTTGAACTTTCTCTAATCAAGCTGGTTGTGCAGGGCCAGAAGAAATGAGTCTAAAGGCAGCATTACTCTGCCTCCCTGTCACCTGGACAGCCTTTAGTTTAGGAACATGTGACGTCACCAGATTTCCTGGAACAGTTGACTCTAAATAATCTCCTCTATACAATGGAAATGGCTTAAAACTCAATCAGACCGACCTCTTACTGTTTTTAAGATTACGCCACTATCCAAATTTTATTCTAGTCTTAAAACATTTTGTTGGAGTAAGCATTATACTGAGAACTATTATTTAGGGATGAAAAGACATAACAGAATAAAATATTTTTGCACTTAAGTTATACCCAATTTAATGGATTTACAACTGAAATTCTGATGCTTTTTTCCCTTAGAAAATAAATTATCTTAGTGGGGCAAATAATATTAAGTGTCTTTAATTAAACTGTATCATAAACTATGTGTTTTATAGCTTTATGTTTCATTTTATTCATAAACCAAATGGGTTTCCCACCATTTCACAATGAAACCTAAAATCTCCCAAGAGATTTTTCCTGAAGATATATTTTTTGTGGAAATACCCATTTTCCAGATAATATGTGTTTGGCCTCTATCATTTCCATGTTCTAATTTGTCTCTGCATTTTTGAGATGTACTTGTTTCATTTTAATGAGTTGCAGTATTTTGCAAATGTCTAGTCCCTTGGCCATGATATTGTGCATGCCCTCCCCCCCCCAAGCAAATTAACCATTTGCACTTAACCATTATACTTTGTAAGGATTTGGCTTTAGTGTTTTGCACCAAAAATTTAGATACGACGTCTGTAGATATTTCTCGATGAACAGCTACTGTCACGTTAAATCGGAGAAATAATCTTCCTTCATCAGGCAAGTGAAAATGAAATATGATTCACGAAGACATAAATGTTGATGTTTGTCTTTCAGACCTGAAGACTACCGGCTGTAAAGGAGTGAAAATGCGGAAAGTCACAATGAGGTGATTCATGAGTTTCTCCTGACCTGCAGGGCCGAGGGAACCCCTCGCATGGGGCAGGAAGCTTGTTCTGGGCGCTGACAGTTTGTGGAGACAGATCAGGAAGGGATCTTCCTTCAACAGGAAGTTGCAATAAAATACAGTATTTTATAAAATTGCTTTATCATGTAATCGGATTTGAATGTCATCAGTGGCAATAAGAATAAAGTTCCTTACTTGGCTAACTATTCAGTTTTGCATTTATGAAAGAAACAGCCTTGGGTAGCACTGCAGTGAAAGTTGCCAACAAGTACCCGTCCGAGCACATTACCTCAAGCTCCTACCTCTCTTCCTGACAACTGGGAAGAGAGCCCGCCTTCACTTTTCCTTTCAGTGACTTATCTAACCTCCCATCCATCTAAATTCACCCCTTCCTCTCAGTGGGGTAAGGTTTGCCCTGAGGTCTTTACAAACTGCTATTAACGACCCTTTTCCCACCTAGCCTCTCGGTCTCCATGGCACCAAAATACCAAAGCAGTGCCTCCCTGCTCCCTAGAAACCGCACTGGCCTGCTCTGGTGCTGTTTGCAGACCACTGCCGTGTCTCCATGCCCCTCCATACCTCCCTGGGCTCCTCACTTACGTGCTCGGCATTTAGGTTGGGCTGCTGGAATAATCTAGCGAAATCTCATCTCTAGAAATTATGATGCTGAGCCACTATATTTGGCTACTTTTATGGTGGGTGATTTTTTCTGCCTTCTCTGGCCCTAGCCAATCAAGGGGTGGATTTCAGACCACCTTTCACGTTCATTCAGCAAACGTATTGAATGCCTGCTACATGCCAGGCACAGTGCTAGGCACTGGGAAAACAAATTACACACCTTCCCCAACACATGCCCCAGCAAAGAGTGTGCAGGCTATTACAGGGTGGAAAGGAGCTATATAGATAGACCTGTAGATACGTGCACCTGGGTGTCGGAGGTGCTGATGCGATAATGTGTGACCTATGACGTATGTTACAGTAGTTGGCATTAAATATGAAGTGTTGCTAGTAACCATCTGCTCGTGTGCTAGACACAACTGCTTTACCTAAATTCACTTAATCCATACATCCACCCTGTAAGATAAATGCTGTCCTCCCCTTTTAAAAATCGGCACACTGAGGCAGCAATAACTGACTTAGGCAAGGTCGCAAAACTGATTTGAATCCAGGCTGATTGGTTCAAAAGCCTGTGGACTTAGCCACTGGCAGATGAGAAAAAGTATATTTATGTTTACATATCACATTCTGTAATAACGCAAGCATAACCTGGTACAGATCAACAGCTGCCATTCACAGCGACGAGCAGTCAGATTTAAATTGTTGGGCCAAAAAGCAGCTCCACCCCTAACGTCTGTTGTGGTCATGTTAGGTGTGAGCCAGTATGAAACAAGTCCCCAGCTCCAGGGCAGCAGCTTTAATCAGGAGGAATTTCTGTCCTGTGCATCCTTAAGCACCTGCAACGATGCCCGGTACATATTTCCTGGTTGAGAAAGGCTCATGGAAGAAAGTCCTTGTTTCCAATCAAACTGCAGGATTTGAAGAGGTGAGATCATAAGAATACAGCCCAGCCATAATATTAAATATTCCATCAGAATATTGAGACTGACCGCCGTCAACCTTGGTTGCTGTGGGTGAGGGCCTGCCTGGCCCTGCAGACCATGTGGGCCTAAGCAGGCTGTGTACTGGCCAACTGAATGGCTTCTCCCTGAGGCTTTTGCACCAAATAAGTGGCCCATTTGCCGTTGCCTGAATGTTTAACAGCCTGACCTGCACCCGTCCTAAGAGACCACAACCACGAGTAGCCAAATAAAATGCCAGCTCTGGTGAATGGGACCCGGCCACCGGAGGGCAGAAGACAGCCTGGACCCACAGGATCATAGCTCCTGCTGAGGTAGAGGGAATGGAAGAAACAAGAGAAGTTTAAAACATAAAAATTCTTGCAGGAACCCTGATTGTTTCAAGAACCCTATGGGGAGCAGAAGCAAGCCGACGTATATATTCCGTCACTGTGTGTCTGTGTGAAAATCGGTGCATGTAAAGAAGGGGTGAAATCACTAAAGGCAAAATGGTCTCTGTTCACAGTGCCCATGCGCCTGGGTAACAGGTCAGTGTGATAAGCGCCCCACTGGGTAACACAGGTCAGTGTGACAAGCGCCCTACTGGGTAGCAGGTCAGTGTGACAAGCGCCCTACTGGGTAACAGGTCAGTGTGACAAGCGCCCTACTGGGTAGCAGGTCAGTGTGACAAGCGCCCTACTGGGTAACAGGTCAGTGTGACAAGCGCCCTACTGGGTAGCAGGTCAGTGTGACAAGCGCCCTACTGGGTAACACAGGTCAGTGTGACAAGCGCCCCACTGGATAACAGGTCAGTGTGATAAGCGCCCTACTGGGTAACACAGGTCAGTGTGACAAGCGCCCCACTGGATAACAGGTCAGTGTGATAAGCGCCCTACTGGGTAACACAGGTCAGTGTGACAAGCGCCCCACTGGATAACAGGTCAGTGTGATAAGCGCCCTACTGGGTAACACAGGTCAGTGTGACAAGCGCCCCACTGGATAACAGGTCAGTGTGATAAGCGCCCTACTGGGTAACACAGGTCAGTGTGACAAGCGCCCCACTGGATAACAGGTCAGTGTGATAAGCGCCCTACTGGGTAACACAGGTCAGTGTGACAAGCGCCCCACTGGATAACAGGTCAGTGTGATAAGCGCCCTACTGGGTAACACAGGTCAGTGTGACAAGCGCCCCACTGGATAACAGGTCAGTGTGATAAGCGCCCTACTGGGTAACACAGGTCAGTGTGACAAGCGCCCCACTGGATAACAGGTCAGTGTGACAAGCGCCCTACTGGGTAACACAGGTCAGTGTGACAAGCGCCCTACTGGGTAACACAGGTCAGTGTGACAAGCGCCCTACTGGGTAACAGGTCAGTGTGACAAGCGCCCTACTGGGTAACAGGTCAGTGTGACAAGCGCCCTACTGGGTAACAGGTCAGTGTGACAAGTACCCAGCTGAGCATAGCGCCCGGTGGCAGAGCACGAAACACCCCATCTCCTCTCCCCGCCAGCACACAGCCTGCTGCAGCTTCTCGGGAAAACCTGAGGACCTGTCCTGCCTACAAGCAGCAAAGGCCTCGAGGACCGCGAAGCTTCAAAATAAGAAAACGTGACATTGCCATGTCCAGTTGACCTCAAGGAATCACACCGATGAACACAGGCGACAACGCCGAGAACAAAAGCAGCAGAGCTTCACCGTAGCTGCCCCGCAATCGCCCGCCTGCGTGGGCTCAGCCAACTGCGGCCCCAGGAAGGTGAGGGTCGCATGTCCTCGGATCTCATCGGGGCGGACAGCAGCTTCCTCAGGAGAGGGGCCATCGACGCTACAGTGAAACTTGGGTTTCTGCTTTAAGCCAGTTCGGAGGAACGAAAAACAGGACAGTTAGCCACAGTCATCTGCCCCATTTCATTCAGAAAACGACAAGCACCTCGCCAGGCCAACTTCACGTCTTCTCACAATCACACTCTATATTTAATGGAACATGCCTTTTACTAAGAACTTACGATGTTTGAATTAAAATTGTGGTAGTTTTCTTGCATCACGTACATAATGGTTCCAGGTTTGAGTTTCCTGCCCCAACTCCATTGTCCCATAAGCCCTGTTATTCCATCACACGGGGATTATTTTTTTAGGAAGAACACGCCATGTTATAGGACAGATGTACTCACTGGAATTGCTGGTTCATCGCATCCTTCAGCAGAAGTGCCCATAAGCAAGATACTGTGCAAAAGCCTGGCGGCATCTCCCTGTCATGGCTGGGTCACTGCAGGACCTCCCGGGTGGGCAGAGCAACACCACTGCCGTCAGGGCCCGTTCCGCCTCCAGCTGTGGGATGTCTCCCGGGTTCAATCAGGGCCTAGCAGGTGGGCCCACATAAAGCTGGGTTCTAAAGCAGGTCTTTAAAGCCACCCTTTGCCCAGAACGCAATTCCTTCCTTTCTTATCCCAATTTCTACTTTAAATTGACAAAGTAAATACTAAAGACTGTGGCTGGTCAGACTTAAATAACGGCTCTCGGTTTAGACATAGGGGGCCATGTGCTGGCCCAGAGACTAGGGCTGGTAGTCACAAAGCAAGGAATGAAGGGCAGAGTTTTGTTTCACTTGTAAGGTTTAACCCAAATGAAGGAGATTTAAAAACATATGCATGCACAAGCAAACAAAACGGAAGCAGACTCACAGATACAGAGAACAGACTAACGTTTGGCAGAAGTAGGGGGCTGGGAGGGCTGGTGAAAATGGTGAAGGGATTAAACGGTACAAATTGGTAGTTGCAAAACAGTCATAGGGATGTAAAGTACAGCATAGGGAATATAGCCAATAATATCATAATAACTATGAATGGTGCCAGGTGGGTATTGGAAATATGGGGGGAGATCACTTTGTAAAGCATGATTGTCTTACCACCATGCTGTACACCTGAGACCAATACAAAATGATATTGGATGTAAACTGTAATTGAAAAAAAATTCTCCTGGAAAAAAAAAGAAAAGCATATAAATTGCAGTTGTTATCAGATTCTTACTACAGTTTCTACTCCTTTCTTGCTAATTCCCTCCAAGCCACATCTAGAGACTGTCTCTCTCCCTGTGGCCCCTTCATTTTTCTGGGCTGCAGTTGACTGATTTGTTTTCCTACCTTCTCCTGGAAAACGGGGTTCGTACCACCTTCAGCCAAGAACAACATTCAATGTCCAGGTCTTTCCTGGCTGAAAATTCCACCGTGGAACAGGTAGCAAATTCTGAGTCTGCGAAGCCTGAAGCCCCAGGAGGGATTCTGCTGCCAATCCCTACAATGCCCCGTTTGAATTGGACAGAACCCTAATTCAGAAGATCCGATCTTTCCAAGACAGACATGAAGGCTCCATTTCAACCTAAATGCAGGTTCTTACAGAGAAATGGTAATTCTCTCTGCCCAAAAGTCTAAAATAGGAGTTGAGTACTTTTGTAGCATCACTACTGCTCTGGGCTTTGCCTTCAGAGAATGCAAACCTGAGCTCGGCTGCTGGTAAAACAGAGACGGTCGCTGCACCTGAGGGCCAACCGCTATTAGGCTGGCTGCCAGGAAGCTTTAGGATACGGTTTCCAGATGAAAACAGCACCTCTGGAGGAGACACACCTTTGTGTCACTGCCATTTGGTCCACGAGAAGC